AAAAAAAAGAAACAGATTTCTATATGTTTGTAGACTACACAGCTCAATTCGCAAAACGAGCTAGATGTATATATACGCTGATTTCTTCTGTTCGGAGTATATAGAGAGAGTATAGTGTCACCGATTTTTGTCGACAACAACAACAAGAAAGGAAGAAAGACTATACAAGGCACCATCAAGCTATCAAAAGAAAGGAGCAAGAGCAAGAGAAAGCTGATGATTATTGTCATAAGTCCTGCTCGCACTCTTCTATACTAATGTTCGTATATCTGTTGATGAAGCAGATCGTGTGCTTCTTTCTTCAACACGCAATAGTCTCAAGCATGGAAGAAAAAAAAGAACTATAAGAAAAAAAAATACCCCATGTCTGACTTCTATAGTAAAATGATGATAATAGTAATAATAATAACTATATTGAAATATTGTGTTCTCGCTTGTTAGTTATTACTTGTTCAGAGAAAATTGAGTGAACAAGCATTTATATATACAGAGAGACTGCTGAGTTGTAATAGTTACTCTTTCCTTGATTTTACGCATGTGCGTATTTATATATGATGGTAGGCGAAGAGCGAAAGTGACATATGTATATATGTGACAAGACAACGAGTACTATAATTGCAATTGTTTATCATTAAACGTTTACTTCAGGTTATTCTTGGCCAACAAATACGAATTTTTCTGCAAGAATTCACATGCCAAAGTTAAATAAACATACATAAGAACAAATTTAAAGGACAAGAAAATTAACATATCATTTTTTATACAATTATAAAATCTTAGGGAAAAGAAATTCTTCAATATCAACCTTTCTTTTTATTTAATTTTGCGATATTCAAATAATAATTATTTAATTGAATAGAATAAAAGAAAATATTCTTGATTGTTATTTAATTAATAAATGTATATAAAGAAGTAATAATCCGACATGAAAAAAAAATTACAGGTGAAGTAAAATGCTACTTTATTACTTTGATTATCATCGCTTCATGATTCTCAATTAAACTTCTACGCTATGATTGCTTCTCTTTCGCATTTTTTTCTCTCTCTCGCTTTTATTCGAGCCATTCATTTGATGCAGATGTAATAAACCAACCGTCAATTCGCGTCTTTTTCTTTATGTACATTGAAAAGATGTATGGAATAACAGTTTATCGATTTGTTATTGTAATTTTTTGCTATTTAATTATTCAACAAATGTATTTGAATATCAACGGTGAAAATCACAGTGAGTTACGATTAATTTTAATTGGAATAAATAAAATATTAATCGAAAAACTTATTCAGATAAACAATCATTTACACATTGTATTGAATCAAATAAAAATGAAAATATTTATGATTATTCATCGTACGATATTCAAGATGAGAAAAAAGAAAATCCAATTTCATTTTCGAAATATAAAGGTATTTATATACGTTAATTTCAAGGATTTTGAATAACTATATGACTTAATCAATTCCTCATTTTGATAAACATTACTAATATTGATATTAGTCAGAAATTATTTGCTCATGTATATGTATACCAAGGTAAAGAAATAACAACTCAATACAATCATATATATATTTTATATTCAGATCATATATATACAACTACGATAGATTATAGAAACATGTCCGGACGTGATTATTCGTCGAATCATATTCTATTTTCGGATATGTGAATAATATTTCATTTGAGATATGCATAATTAATTATATATTGAATCCAAAGGAAGTTTTTATCATAGTGCGACAATGATACTAAGAAAAAAACTTGCGAATTTACTTATTAATGTTTGACAATTCTTATGTACATGATCTAATAAAGAGCAAGCTTTCGAATTAATTACTATTAGAAAAGAAGTCAGTATACAAACAGAATGATACTAAAGTTCCAGGAACTGCATTATATCTGTTTATAGAAACAACATTCCATTAATCTTTCTATATTATATATTCGAGGTAGTTGTTAAGATATTCTTTCGAAGTTTACAGTACGCATTGAATTGATTTCCTTGGGTGTTGTCTGAGTTTCGATACATCTTCGAACTCTAAATAATTTTCAAAATATGAAATCATTAATAGCTATCTCCCTGAAACGTACCATCGCGATAGTGACTTCAGAATCATTATCCGTCATCTAGTTGTTTCTAAAGTGAGTAGCAATCTCACCTATATTACTGATAAATTTATAGTCATGTTTCGATCTCATCAGTTTTCGCCTTGAGATTTTTCGCTAATATATAAAATCATGTCATTATGACCTTTGAAATGAAATTAAACTTCACCGATCGTATACTCACCTTAGACTAGGATTTCATCTGTAGGTATTTGACATAAAATATATCTCGCGTAACTAAGATTGTTAAATTATTTTAGGAAAAACTTTATTGATTGTTATAACAGCAACTTATTGTCAATATACTCTTCAATATCCATATTTGAATCAATTAAAATCGTATTATAAATCGGATGATTTCGAAATACTTGCATTTCCTTGTAATCAATTTGGTTTAGTAAGAGAGAATTATTTGTTTATTTTATCTTTTTAATAATAATTGAAAATTTTCTTCTAAAGCAAGAACCTGGTGTTACTGGTGAAGAAATTTTAAATGGTATTCGATTTGTTCGACGTATGTTTTACAATTATTTCTATTAAATATTTAGAAATAAATATTCGTTTATTTAGCTGGAAATAATTATGTACCAAATTTCCATATGTTTGAAAGATCAGATGTAAATGGTTATAATGAACAACCCATATTTACTTATTTAAAAGTAAGACAAACTTGATAAAATTTATAAATATATATATATATTGATCAATATTAAGTCTGTATGTCCATCACCAATTGATGAATTTCATCCTTGGCCAAATATAACATATGCACCAATTCGATCGAATGATTTAAGATGGAATTTTGAGAAAGTATTCTATTCATCGATTAAAATATAATTTGTATTTATATATTTCTTTTGTAATATAGTTTTTAATTGATCCTAATGGTTATCCAGTGAAACGTTTTTCATCAGGTATTATTCCATCTGAACTTATACCTCATATAGATGAAATAATAACAATGTCAACAACTAAACATCGACATAATAAAATATCATCTTTATCTCGACAACTCAATGAATTATTGATCGATGATGATAATTTTTAACTAGTTATGAAGAATTCAAAAAATCAATTTTTATTATTGTGAAGATTATTTCGAATGTTTAAATAAATAAAATATGAGAAAATAGAAATTCAAAGAATCTTCTTCGAAAATAATATCTGAATATATCGTAGTTACTATATAGAATCACAATGAAGATTATGTATGCTCTTCTAATTATTGCTGTAACAAAAAATTAAAGATAATTTCTTTGTGACAATAGAATTTGATTCTAAAAGTTTTAAAAAATCGAATTCAATACTTGATCTTAACCCTTCCACGGTTTTCATCGGTCCAACGAGATTCACAACTGCTATATTAACTTTTGTACAAAAGTCTTACCAATAAAAAACTAAAATGTAGGCCTGCATGGACCTCCTAGCATCTTTCATGTTATACAGATGACTTTCATTCATACTTGCAGAGAATTCATTGAATATGCGTGAATGTATGATTTATTAGTTTTTTCCTTTTCTCTGTGTGCGTATATTGTTCATTCGATAACTTTTTGAAAAGACGATCATTTTCATACATCAAAAACATACTAATGTATCCGTCCTCCGATAAACATCATAGTTTAGACTTTCATTCTTCATATCTCGCACAACATAGACAAAAATATCAAATTCTCCTAACTCATTTACATGCGTGTTTCACTTGACACACAAGATATCGTTTGTGTGATAACATGAGAATACCTTTCGAGAGTTAATAAGTTTATTTATATTCAACAATAAAACCACCATGATTTACTTAATTTCTGGCTGGTTCGATAAGTCATTAAGTTAAAAAGAATGTTTCATAAGTAGCTATCATATAGCAGATTATATTATAGTCAATATAAGTCGATGCGTAGACTGATTATGACTTATCCGATCAACTTATATTTCTTAGTCTGATACTGTAGTTCATATTTATAATTAAACTGTAAAATTTATAAATGATTAAAGATTTTTTCCTGAAATATAAATTTCATCATTATTTATCATTTTTAAAAAATACATACATTACATTAAAAAAAAAAGATTTCACCATATTAGCATTTTTAAAAGATTTTAAACGCAAAATTTCTTGCTCTTTTTCTCTCTTTCTCTTTCATTTACTAAAGTCGATATAATGAACTGAGAAAAGAATAGAAGACATCTTGTGTTTGGAACACTTACAATATCTAGACTATTTATAAAATAACGAAAGAAACAAGTCGAGAAAAAGAAAAAGAATAAGAAAAGAATGACGAGCAAGACACTTTAACAATCCAGCTGATAACACCAAATAGTAGGTATTCTATGAGATCAACAACGGTACTTTTTATCGTTATCAGAAAAGAAAAAACAAACTCGGCACACCTTGATTAGAAATAAAAAAGAAAACAATGCATTAACATCCTAGATTACACCAAGATTTCAATCTTTTTTTTTTCCTTTTACCATTCGCTATACAGATAAACATACAAAGCATGATTTGATCCGACTTGAATAGCTCATCACACAGTTAACATAAAAAACACAAGAGAGAGAGAGAAATAAAGAACGAAGGGAAAAAAGAAGAAGAATTGATTGTTTTGAAAGAGAAAGAGGGAGAGAGAGAGACATATATATAAGATTAGTTATCAAGAACTTGATGGTTCAACAACAGAAACCGTCGTCATTAATTTGGGTAAAACATCTTGACAAATTGATGACATACTATTAGAGTTGCTATTATTAGTATCCTTGTCATTTTCAATAATATTAGTACGAAATCGTTTGACAGCTATAATTAAATAAATAATAATTCTTTTCACTTTATACTTTTAAAATTTTATTATTAACTTACTAGGTGATGGAATAGATTCTATATCAATTTCTACATCATCATCATCTTCACTTAAACGTCGTGTAGAAGAATCTCTATGATTAGATAATATTGGTGATGGTGTTATATCGACGGAATGTTGTCGAATCATAGGTATAAGTGGTACAAAGGCACTAGGTGAATGATTTGAATTGACTAGTAATGCTGATGATGATAATGATGGTGTTGAAAATGATCGAAGTGGATGCATATTTGATAATCCTGCTGATTGTGCTTGCACAAGATGATGGTAGTATGGTAATGTTGATGAAGGTGGTGGACCATAATCAAGACGATGTGGATAAAATTCAGCTAGAAATGGAAGAGCAGCAGCATGAGGAAAATTACCTATTGTACCAACAAATCGACTCATTGGCTCACGCATTTGTGATAAATGTTTTGAACAATATCCATGTCTTTGTGATTCCTTTTGACATTGATTCATACCACATAAACGACGCCATTGCTTTCCATTAAATTTCTTTCGTATACCTGTCGTACTATATAAAGAAGAATATACAGATAGAAATAAAAATAATCTTCTTACCCCATTGTAAAAATATCTCCTTTTTTAACTCCTGGAGGTTTATTAATATTTTGTTGTTCAGTATTTTTAAATTCTCTTTCAACTTCTTCATCGTCTTCATCTTTCTGTTCAGCTGGTGGTGTTGGATATACTATTTGTTGATCATTATTATTATTATTATTATTATTGACTGGTAAATCAATAGATATTGGTCGAAAGATAGATAAATTTTCTTGATGTAAACGTAATTCTTCGTGCCATGGTTCAATTAATAAACGTATATTTTGTCTTGTAAACCATATATCTTCTTCATCATCACTTAAATCATCACGATTATTATTTGAATCTTTAAAATCAATTGAAAATTCTAATCGTGTTGAATGTTTTGATTTTATTCGACCACATATAAATTGATTTATATTATCATTTTTTAATTTTCGTACACATACTGGTGTATTAATAAGAAGATCTTGACATGCTGGTATATTATCGATTATTACCGATGGCAAATGATTATTTAATGGTTGATTTATATCGATTTTAACTGATGATAATTGTTCATCACGAAATGATATTTCTATAAAATGAGAATCAATTATATCACTAATTATACCTAGATGATAAATATGAGGATTTTTATTATCCAGCACAAGTACACTTTGTTGACGCCATTGATTTGCGTCTAATATAAATGATGGCGATGGTGTTGATGAACAACTTTGTTGTTGCCAACGTTTTTTCGGTGGAGAGGCATCATCATACGCCATGGAGTAATACGCCTAAAATAAATAAATAAATATGTTATAATTTTAAAAAAATAAAAAGTAAATGTGTATATGTGTACTGGAATTTGACATATAAAATAAATCGATAGGAAACGCAAAAGAAGAAAAAAAAAGAAAAAAAATTTAAGTTATTCATCATCTATGGAATCCATACTATGTCATTTCTATCATGTTTTTGTTTCAAGAAAAATAAAAATTCTATAGAATATCCATTCGTAATAGATCATCGATAAAGGAAAATGCATATTGTAAAATACTGAAAAGAAAACAGATGGAAAATATGTCTTTTTTTTTTTTAAAAAAACAACACAGAAGAAAAAAAGAAAAAATTGAAAAAAAACAGATACATAAGTATGATGAAGAAAAAATAAAGGAAAAGAAAAAAAAATACTCTACTATCAGCTGACGTACGTCTGTTTTCTTCATTCTGTCGAATTTGATTCGAACGAACAACACTATAATCCTGTTGTTGTCCAAAAACAAATGGCAGAAACACACATTTCACACTATAGAACGTACGATGTAATAGGCGTACGTTAAAAACAACATCTGTCTGTTTCTTTTCATCTAACATACACATTGTGTATGTGCATGTGTAAAACCAGTTCTGTTTCTACTCACTTGAGCAATGAAGAAAAGAAAACAAGATTGACAGAGGAAAAGAACTATCCTTTTAAAAAAAATTTTGAAAAATAAATGTCTTGAGGATAGAAGAAATTTTTACATTATTTATAATCCTACAAATAAAAATGAAATTAACAAAACTAAAATAGAGATATATATATATATATCGTAAAAATTATTAATCATATCTTTTCTCTTTCTTAAAAAAAAAACTAACACCAACAAGTTTTGTAAGATAAAGAAAACATAAAAGAGTGGTAATTTTATTCTTATCATTAGAAAAAGTGATGAAATAAAAATATAATAGATGTATACAGATGAAACAAATAATGATAATGAATGTCAAAGTGCAAAGCAATATTTTGTATTACCTACCTTCGAGTTTATCTATGTCAACAAAAAAAGAAAAATGTCAGCAAAGAGAAATGAAGGAAGTTGATAGCGACAAGACATGCTTAAATAAGTTTTTTGTGAAGTGAACATGATTTTAAAATTTAATGTTTTTAAAAATCATATATCTATCTATTTATAGAAGTAAAGTATCTGATGACAGAATCGATGCGAGAAAAAAAAGAGTACAAAAAAAGAACTATAACTGACAATCAACTGTCGTAAATGCAAAATGTCTCTCTTTCCTTCTTGGTTTCTGTCGGTTTTTTTAACGCACACACACACACATACACACAAACACAATATGATCAACTATCGGTTCTTTTTTCTCTGTTTCTCTCATTAATGTATTTTTGTCGCATTCTTCTTGTTTCTTTTTCTTCCAAAACACACACGCACACGCATAAAAATCTTAGTTTATGGACATATTGCAAGTTGCGCAAGGGGGGTATATGGCTAGTAGGTTCTTCGATTTACAAATACACACGTAGTTGCGTACGTACACACACTGTTAATAATTACGTTCTTTTTCTATTTTTCCTTTATATATATATATACATATATTTCTTTTTCTTCTTTCTCTTGTTGACGATATGATGTTGTTGTTAATAGTGTGCTGATGTATACGTGACACTAAAACGCGACATATCATTCTCCGATTAATTTAATGTCGTTTGCTTTTTCAGATGATTAATTTACCATCGTATACACTTGATAATTTTTTACACTTATATAAAAACTGAAAAAAAAATAAAAAAGAATTACTAAATATATATTTATATATTTATTTTATCATGCTTGTTAAATTTATTTGAAGAATATTTTATGTTCTTCTTTTGAAGATTGTCTATTATAAGTTAATATATTATTTTCTGTTCTCTCTCTCTCTCTCCCTCAGTTCATAATACTCTTGAAACTACAACAATATTACTCCGGACTCGTCCTTTGCTCTTTACGTGTCCTCGACGTTTGCGTAGCTAGAAATAACTTCTATGAAAAACATCTGTTGATCGATGTTTAATTCTTTGTTTATTACGTTGAAAGAATATATGATCGTTGATATTTATTTACTTAAAAAGTTATTAATAAATTCAATTAATTTTATAAAAAAAAAAGAAGTATTTTCCGATTAAATCTTCCTGGTTCGAAGCAGTACATGATTTTAGATATTTTAAATATACTAACAATTTCTTTCTGTAATATATAGTATCATGATATCTTATATCCTAAAGTAAATCAGATTTACATTGGTTGATTTATGTTGATTGCAGAAGTAGGAAAGAGTTTATAAAAAATCATGACGTTGCATATATTTTAACTGAAAAATAATCTGTAGTCTAATGTTTCTCAATCATTCAATATTTGAATTATATACGAAACAATAAATATTCATTTTACATCGAAAGTAAAATACTACAGAAATTAATGCAAGAGTCTATAAGTGTTTATTTCCTTGTAAGAAGAAAGTATTATGATTATTAAATTAGCTAATCTATGCAATGTGCTTGATCTCAAAATATGTAGATATGATTCATTCCGTATATAGACTTTAAAACCATCTCTATTACATATTTTTAGACAAATAAAAAAGATTAAAATTACTTCTATACTCGTTAACCTGTACTCGTTCAAAAAGAGAAACACGCATTAAAGTCCAATTCAATATTCTATTAATGAAAAAAATAAAATTCTAAGTTTTACAACGTATGTCAAATCAGAATATTGAATGTTTTAGTTTAGATTATTTATTATATTTCATTATAGTAAAATATTATTTTTCTTTTATTGGAATTAATAATCATATTTAAGATTCGGAAAAATCAAATGCAATCATTTCTAAAACTGAAATAGAAAAATATGATTGAGAACAGAGTGGCTCATTATTAAATGTATCACAATGTGTTGTAAGACCTTCACATAATGATTGATCAATACATAAACCATCACCATTTCTAAGATAAATAGATATTTTAAAAATTATTTCACAAAGTTTTTTCTTTACCCTCCACCAATAACTAATTTTTCATTATTTACATATAAAAACATTTCGCGTTTAGCTTGATTTTGACGATTAGAATCATCATGTTGTTGTCCTACCCAAGAATATTTGATTTGTTTGGGTACAAGTGTAAATAAAAACGTTTCGCCAAAACCAAAATATGCTCTTTTATGACGATCAGACCAGAGACCAGCACAAAATGCGCCAAATATCTATTCAAAGAAAGAAAGAAATAAAAATATAAATTTACTTTTATGTATGTTGAATAAATAGCAAAAAAAACTGTATGGAAAAAAGTTATTTCTTATTCCATTTCCGATAAATGTTTCTTCCGCTTAAATTTGTTCGTTTCATGTCCTATTGAATGTTTTTTTTCAAAATGATAAATGAACAAGAATTACCTCTCCGTTTGTAGCTTTTATTATTAAAATTGAATATTCAATTTCATCAATTTTATCTAATAAAGTTTGTAAACGAAATCCATGTTCTTCAGTAGTAAAAACTAAACTAGGTTGTGCAATACTAAAACGCACTGGTAACCAATTCCATAATGTAAGAAACTAAAAAATGAAAATTATTTTGTGAATATTTGCTAATGAATGATTGTATACTTGTTTATGATCGAGTATTGACTTGTTTGGTATTTGTGTAAGATGTTGAGATGTCACTAATTGTGGTTGTCGATCAGAAATAATTCCATGACTAATGCTATTACTACTTTCTTTGGCATTATCGTTCGATGGTTGTTGATGGGTAGAACGTAAGAGCTTTTCTTCATTTTCAATCAATTGATCTATTGTACGTCGTTTGAAATTTCGAATATCAAACGCTATCTGGAAGAGAATTTATTGATAAAAGATTGAACCAATAATTTTATTATTCACAAAGTGATATTTGGATACAGTTTTAGTAGAAAAACTCTAACTATTTAATAACTTACACGTAATAGATGATCAATTGATACTGGAATATGTTGACAAAAATCCGCTATATCTGAAGGATTTTTATTTGATTTGTCTTTTATTCCTAAATAACAAAATAACATTAAATAATTGCACTGAAAAGAAAGTTTATATATATAGCATTAAAAAAATGATTGCTATTATTTTATATGTCCATTGAATATAGTTAGCAAATAAGCAAATTTTGTTTTTTTTTCACATACTTTTCGTATATAAGTGAACAAGTGCCAAACTAATTCGAAATAAAATTTTTGGTCCTTCCAAAAAGAAACAATCCATGATTTTGGTCTAAATTAGAAATATAAAGTTGAAAATGTTTACATGAAAAGACTACAAATTATACAAGATAAGTGAATGGCAAATAACGGAATATCCACCAAAACCATTCTTGATAAAAACTTTTCATATTTGCAAAGCGCAAATCAATTATATCGGCTGCTGATTTCTAAATTAAAGAATAATATTAGATTCTAATATCTTTCGTTATAAAATTCAACATACATAATAAAGTCTTACTAATTTCATAAATACATTACAATGTGCTTCCCATTGCAAACGTGTTACTCCGCATAACCAATTTTTAACTAATAAACGGTTAATTAAATATAAAACTTCATATTCTGTATGATAATGTAAAAGTAATGCAGAAAATGGTTGTAATGTTGGACAATATGTTACATCTGGATGATGTAAAGCAAATGTAAAAAGTATACGTTGTAATAATGAATGACCTGTTGGTTCATTTAAATGATAAAAACATAAATTAGTTGTATCAACAAAATTTGGTAATTGATTATGATTTGATGATAAAGAACTGAAGTCATTATCAATAATCACTATTGTTGATGTTAAAGTAGCTTGAGATGACTGACGTACATGACGAGGTTGTTTAGATGATCTAACGCGATTCAATGTTAATATATTCATCCACATTTGACGACGTATATAATGATTGATCGGCCACAAAACCGAACGTATCAGATACTTAAGACGATTAAAATCGTCATCTAGTACTGCATGTGTTGTTACACTAAGAGATGAATCAGTTGAATTAAAACATTGACTATTTGCATTGTTCCATGAAAGAAGACCAACTAGATCTTTATAATGATAATGTTTTTGAATATTTTGTTGTTGTTGTGATAATGGTTTTTCAGTCTGAGCTAGTATATCATCAATAACAGCATCACTATAGAATGGATGAATAGTAATAATCGACATTTGTACATATAATTTGTTTTAGTTGAGTTTGAACGAGATAAAAAGTAAAGATATTGCAAAGACTAAAACAATCGAAGAACATTTTTTTCTTCTTCTCCAACACTTTCTTTCGCTTGTCTATTTCTGCTTATCAGATAATTGTGTCGAAAACTCGCTTTCTTCTCTTGCTTTCTACTTTCTTTTTATCGTGAGTCAAGTAGTTGAATAAACAAAAATGATCGATCGACATGAGAAAACAAACGAGAAAAAAAATGCAAAAATAACAAAATTTTTTATGACATATATTGCATATATGAGCTTCCATTAATTTGCTCTTTCTTACTCTTTTGTCTATCTGTCATCAAACTTTCCGATGACACTACATCGAATAAACCAATCAGTTCACGCACTTTACCCCGTATATTGCCTAGCAATTCTCGTATATCTATGTATAATTGTATATAGCACTCAACATCTCAAGGGCATAAATAATACTAAGTTATTTCTTTTGTAAAATAAAGAGAGGAAAATGTTGAACGCGTAGATGATAACAAGAAAAGTAGCGAAAATAGTGAAAAACTATAGATTTGTAGGAAACACATAATAACAAGTAGGTCGAATAAAAAAAATATATAATTAGTACCTGTCTTACTTGTCATCTTTTTTAGGATTTTAAATTATACAATAGTTGACAAGAAGAATCTTCATTCATTTTTATCATGTTAACTATATAGAAAGAAAATCAATTCAAGGAGACGACTTTAATTACGTGACCTATATGGCATATTTTCTCGAAACTTAATCTATGATATCGTTGATTTATTAAGAGTATGTCATATTTCAAAAGAACTATGAAAAACGCAATACTATTAATAGTAGATATGCTATGAAATACGATAGAAACGAACACTAGTAATTATTGCTCTTCAGAAAAAAAAGCATTAGAATTTCTTTTCTATTCATAAAGAATACTTCATACCTAAATTTTTTTTATAGATTGTCTATAATTTTAAAATAAAATAAATATCGAGGAAAAAAAATGATAACTTCTAAAAGATTTACGTCATATGCACTCATGAAAGAAATGTTTTATATATAAAATATAAATCTCACGGCATCCATAAAGAAAACGATCACATTTAAAAAAAAAAGACTTAAGACAGTTATGTATTCGGCAAGTACTTTATTTGTATGTTCGTTTATTAATCTTTTTGTTCCTATGAAAATGAGTTTCCAGACAAATTTTCTATCTTTTCTTACTCGGAAATGATTTTCAAAGAAGTATAATAACATACAGTATTTACCAATAGAAAATTTGATTCTCGGCAAGATGATTAATATTTTACGCCGTGTTAAATACAATCAACTCGTTTTTTTCTCCTTGAAAACAAAACTGATTTTCATAAGTAAATGATCATTGCCTTATAGATATATTACTTTTCAATTCCATAAAGCATTCTTTGATCTTATTAATGAAGATATTCAATAGTTAAAAGATTCTCTCTAATTCTTCTATCTATATTGTAATATATATATAAAATAATAACTAGTTCAAACATTTATTTTTCTTGTTGGTAAATATAAATTGCACTGAGTCATTCTACATTCTCATATAGCAAATGTTTGATGAAAGAAATATATTGATTTACTTACGGATTGAATATCAAATAGACAAATTGTTATTCAAAAGAATAGTAAAAATAGATTAGAAACGTGGCTCATACATTTCTAAATGACTTATATCTATTGTTCATTTATGAATGATGAATTATGAGAAATCTTGATGTGAAAAGATCATGACTGCAAAAAATTATTTTTCTTTGTTAATAGTTCTTTTACTTACTGTTAAAAGTAATTTCTTGACAATGGTATTTGATTGTCAGTGGAGCATATTATTACGAATGTTTTTTCAACCTACTAGCAAAACGACATGTGTTCTGACAATATGGTATTTTAGTATTGAAGAAAAAAATTATATGAAAGCAGTTTCATGTGGTATGTGGACAGATAATGTCATGGAACTATTTTATAAATTGATTTTTAAAAAAAAAACATTGTTGGTTAGTATTTTATCAAAGTTTCGCCAGTCTAAAACTCGTTAAGTATTTAATATAAATCGATAAGTAGTCACATGTACTTCATATTCTATCTATAGACGAGAATAATACATACTCCTTGTTCATATAAAGATATTATAAACGTACGCTCTATTTTAGAAATCGGGTATTTCTTCAATTTTTAGCCTGAAAATAATACACATATTAACGCGTCTATTGCGTTCATAAATATTTAAGACCGAATCAAAGTGATTTTTTTATGAATAATGACAAATTACGTCTGTCTCGTATTATAATAAAGAGTTACTTTCTTTATAACACTTCAAATAATTTACCGTCTGTGTTAATATAAAGGAGAGGAATAATTCTTTTGAAAAAAGTAAGTTTCCTGAACAGGTACTCGCTTTTTTTTTTATAGAATTTTATATGTAGTTTACTGCACTAATTCTTAGAATTTTAATAATTGCAAAAATACTTGATTACAGATATTTTAACCTTGAATTACAAGTACTAGAATGTATTATTAAACAGAAGCTGATAAAATATGCAAAGTGCTTTTTTTAGAATTCTTTTTGTTCTCATAATGCAAAGATACGAAGAGAATTTATCATATATGTTACATATTTAATGTTTTTCTATCTAACTTAGGCAATTTAAGACCGAGACCAGAAGTATTCTTGCTAGAACGAAAAATAGTAGGGTGAGGGTGATATACTCAGCCGAGTTCCACGCTCACACCCTCAAGATTAATAAGAAAAAACTATATTTTTATGCTTTATTTCATCTTTAGAATACATCAAAAATACTGTTTCAAGATTTAACGTGCTATACGATAATCACAAAATATATAAACTTAGAAAACAAAGAAAACATTGAGTGTCTTTTACAATGCTGTTGAGCAATAGAAAAAAAAAGAAAAATGAAACAAAAAGCAAAACTCATAATATATATATATATCACAAAAAAAGAAAAAACACCCAAACCAAAAAAAAACAAAGAAAAATATCTTTATGCATTATGATTACAGAATACAAACTCGTATTCATTCTTTTGAATAATAATCTAATAGTTTATAGTGATTTTGGTTTCGTGAATCGTATCAATGTTTCTGATGAACGATATAGAAATAAAAGTTTAGCAAAAAGTTGTTCTTCAATACGTAACATATCATGTTCACGAACTAAATAAATATCACGTAAAAGATGCCATAAACGTTCAACACTTGGTAATTCATTAAACATTATTGTACGACTTGTTTGTAATACTGTACGTAATAATCGTGCAACAACAACAACAAATGTTGTATATAAACCAATAATTCTAATAAAAAAAAAAAGTCATAGACAGTTGTATGTTGAAAGAATATCGAAGCTGAGTGAAAAGAGATTGTAAGTGTACGGAAAGCGAATATTGAAGAGTGATAGTTATACTTTTTGATGCAAACTACTATTGGAATATATGTTTAACACTGGTTATCATGGCATTCTTCCAGTTAACACAATGTTTCCATTTCTATTCAATCTCTATTATTAACAATACTTACACTTCAGCGCTCATTGATCTCTATATCCATCACTAGAAAAGTCTATATTTTAATGCTTATTGTTCTTTTGTCTCCTCTATTCGTAGTCGCGAAAATACAATGATCTTAATTACTAAAGTCTATCATAGGAAGGATATTCATAAGTTATATAATCAAACAGAAAATATATAAAGTACTCACCCATATCGAGTAAGAAATGAAATATTAGCTGGTGAAACTTTATCATTGAAAAATATCATACTCAAATATTCTTGATTGGAAGGAGGAGCACCTAGAAATATAATTAGGAAAAAAAAATAAATCAATTATGTGTTTATAAATTCTCTTGTTTTTTTACATGATGGAGTATAACCATATTTATTTTCATGTTCAGACATTTCCCACCAAACATCCGTACTATTTGGAATTGATTTTGTACGATTTAAACCCATTGTAATATTAGCATAATAATCACGTGGAAAAACTAGACAAAATGAATTTAATACATCGTAAATTTTCTAAAAATGATTTACTTGTTTTAAATGCACCAATTTCTTCTGGTTTTGCTTTTGGTTTAACATGTAAAAATCGTGGCATTAAATCTCTTATTGTAAAATTTCTAAAAATAGATAATTATTTATTTAATTAAGATTTGTGTTTCTTTAAATATGAATTATACATAGATGTTTGTGATTCAACTGTTCCATTTAACATTTCAATTAATGCATTCCGAACAACTTGATCATTTGCTGTTATATTAACTATATTTTCTCCTGTTACAACAGCTGCAATATCTCCAGAATTATCTTGATTTGGTGGATTACGTGTTATTGTATATGAAAATCGTACAGGTACTGTTACATTTGAACGTAAATTATTTACAACAATATCACGTATTGGTTGACTAATTTTCCAAAGATCAACACTTGTAGCAAATAAATTTACACAACGAATATCATCAGAATTAAAATCACGTAGAAATGCATTGGCACTATCCTATTAAAAAAAATATTTAATAATATTATTGAAAATAAGATTGATTAATAATAGAGAGAGATATAGGGATCAATTAAATTTGTTTACTATTAGCAATATTTGATTACAAATCAATTGATCGTTCGATAAATATGAATAAATTATAAAATATAATTTCCTTATAAGAATATACAAAAATGCTTTTATTTTATCATGTGGAATGAAAGCTTACAAACAAATTCAATAAAAGAATTTTACATCATCTTATTCATCGGAAACTATTGTACTATGAACATAGAAGAATATTCACTTTTATAGACCAAATGGAAAATAATCTAATACTAGAGCCGCTGAAAGGAATTCTCAGTGTATAATAGTCTATGTATAGAAAAGTTATTCCGCTGTATTTCAGTCTAAAACTGTATATATAGTATATAAGATACAATCCAAGGACATTCATTCAGTAATTGAAATACTCAATAGCCATGCGTGAATTCTACGCTAAGTTCATAATATGTAGATCTCCTTTCCTAGTCGTATCGTTTTACAACGGTAGATTTTAGTTAACTCATTAATTGATAATGATTAAATTTAGACATACTTTGATAGCCGGTGATATGTTTAACGACTCGATTTTATCACGTAATAATTTTGAATCTTCGGATTTAAATTCTTTTAAATCAAAATCTTGTGCTGTCATTTGATAAATTGGCTAGAATAAATTTTGAAATAAAGAAAAGCGAAAATAAATTTTCAATCTTACTAAATAACCACCTAATTTAATTTCAACAGTAACTTCTTTCGGTGGATTTGGTTGATAAAATGATGATGAAAATGAAAAGAATAATAATGGAAACCAAATTAATAGTATTAATAATATTAATATGGAACCACCAAGACCATATTTTGTTATTTTTGGTCGAGTTACACCACGATCAGTTGGATATTTCTTTTTTGGAAAAAAAAACAAAAATTCATTTTTTTATCTATTTAAAAATTAAAATATTTTTTACTTCTTCTGCCCATCGTGCACATTTTAATAAATAAACATTCGAATAAATATCTTCTAATTGTAACCAACTTGATAATCCAAGTGATGTATCTGTAAAAATCCAATCCATAATCGTACGTAATTCAAGTAAAAATGGAATTAATAAATAACTAAATAAAAAAACAAGCAATCAATTTAAATATTTCATTTTTTCTTAAATCAAATTCTTACATTCGATATAATACTTGAGTAACATAATTAAATCTTTTCATAAGAAAATTGCCTGCAATACGTTTTGGATAACCTAATCGTACTTGGATGGATGAATAACCAAAATAAATACATTTGAATAAATACCAAAATTGCGCAGCATAATTATCACGAAATTTTCTTCGAAAAAGAAAATATAAAATAAATGATTTTCTTTTAAAAATAAATACGATTATTTATACATACATATGTGTAATACCAGGTAATATAAAAAATAACCAAATATGTACACCTAGAACTTGAAATAATTGAAAAAATAATTTTCCACGAACATTTCGACGTAAATAGAGTGCGCGATCAATAATAATCAATAGAAATTGAATTAATAGTATGACAAGAAAAGCAACAGGAACCTGTAAAAAACAAAAGCCAAAGATAAGTTTGATTATTATGAATAAATTCTATTACTTTATTTTCTTTTATTGTTTGTACAACATTTCCACCAGCACGTTCCTAAATATTGAATTTAATTGTACTTTTTTTTATTCATTTAGAAAATTTAATAGGGATGTGCATAGGTAAAATATCAGTTTTGTTCTGTGGAAGGGAAGATGTTCATGATATCTAATCCTATAAAACAATCACCAAATCGAACTTAATGATTACCCTTTGGTTTTCTGTTAACTGGAAGAAAGTGAAGTTGACAAATATTTGAAAAAAAACAAACTATTTCGAATTATTACTTACACCAAACTGGCTATAGAAACCAATAACAATAATCATATTGATAAAATCACAAAAGAACATTGATGCATAAACATCACGAACAAATAGTGATTGTTGAAGATGTCGATAGAAATTTATTAATGGTTTCATAAAACTAGAACTATTTAAAAGAATAGCTTTGAAATTGAAAGTAATATTTCAAAAAGAATACCTTTTAGCTCTTGGTGTTTGTAATCGACTAAGATCTTGTTCTTCAAATCCAACAGCATCTACATCAATTGAACCTAATGAAACGGAATATTAAAAACGACCTCTTTTTATGAATTCAAACATTCTAGTTGATAGTACTGCGCTACGGAAGTAACTTTTTTTCTAACTTCCCCATTTCTATTTCGACTTAGGAGTATCACTAATGAAGAAGTAAGGATGGATGAATGTGAGCGTACGAGACTGTGACTGAGAGTATTGTTCCCAAGTCACATCCGTACCCACAACCTCAATTGTCTTCTTTAAATTCAGTCTTTAGGAAAATGTATATCAAATGATGAATTTTTAATTTACTAACTTTTCAATGCACTTCGTTCGGCTTTCCAAAGTCCAAGTTGCTAAAGATAAAGATAAGAAAAATAAATTTTTTCAAATGAATAAAGCAAACAAAATACTTTTAATATTGAACGATGAAGAAATAGTGATAAAAGTAGAAAAAGATCAGCAACTGACGCGGCATTTTCCTTTCGATTAATTCCAATAATATTAACTGCTGATAATGGATTTGTTTCCATATTTTCTGATGAATTCCATGGATAAAATCGAAATTGAAATATATATTTAATAACAATCATGGCTTCTGTATATGTTATAACTGTAATCCAATAATTTCTTGATGGTCGTGATGATAACATAGCCCAAAGAAATATTGATAATGGTAATGGCATTGAAAGAAGTGCGCCTGATGTTAAATGATTAAGTACCATTGCTGAATAACAAAGAAGTTCTGAACGAGACATTGTAAAATAAAATAAAGAATCAAATAAACGATAAAGGCGTGAACGTTGACGTTGTTCAACTGGTTGAGAAGGTGTTCGAGTACGAATTGCACTAAATATCATAGAAAATCATTCAATATAAAAAAAAAACTTGATTTTTCTTAGAAAATTCTTACTCATTAAATTGATCTATATGATCCATTCGATTTAGATTAACAACAGAAGCCTATAGATAAAAGAAATGTTTTCTTTATATATTTATGAAAAAAAAAAGTTTTAAATTTACTGTTGCAACAGTTGTTTGAGCACGTATACGTTCTTCGTGTTGATTAATTTTTTCTTCTGATTTCATTTCGGATAATTTTCTTGATACTTCTCTATAATCACGTGAATGTCGATTAAATAAATCAATCAGATATTCAAGTACAATACGACTAATTAAACGCATTTTAATTAAAAAAGATTTTTTTGTTTTTTTTGTTTTTTCTATTCGATAAATTATTATTGTATAAAAAGATTATCAATTACTAAATCTTACCTTTTGGTTCTACGCTTGGCGTAAATTCTGATACAGGTGTTGGTGGTATTTCTGTAGTTATTGCTTCCGGTGGAGTTTGAGGTCGAGAAATAGGTGTTGCAGGAAATTCTAGAACATCATTTTCAGCAGCAGCTAATGGTGACGGTTCTGAAAAACAAGAGTATTTAATATGTAGGAATTTGATTCGATCTAATCTCAACCGTTTATTATAACAAATGAAAAATTTGGTTCTTTTCAGCACTTGATAAGGTGTAGTACATAGCTAAACATATATCGATCAATATTCTTAGTATCTATTCTAGATAATCATGACTTTGTTGTTTCGAGTATAGATGAATATATTACTTATATTTCCCTGCTTGATTAAAAGCACTCGCTCTCGTTTTTACTACGATATTTTATTCAATTATCTTGATGTTTATGTATCTATTTTAAATCAGAAATTTCATGCATACAACTTGGGATGAAGATATGAAAATTAGACTCAACTCTAGTTAAATGATTATGTGTAAAAAGGAGAAATTAAATCTTATAGAGTTTATCAATATTTCATTTCTATTGTTTTATTTAAAAAGACTTACTATCTGCAGCGACAGCAGCAGCTGCAGCTTTATCACTTGCAGTTAAAACTTGAAGAATCTATATTAAAATATAAGTATTTTCATTTCAATTTATATTCTATTTACCTGTTCTTGAGCTACTGTTGCTTCATCTTGTTTTCCTTCGTCTACTTCTTCGTCTGATTCATACTCAAACATATAATAATCACCAGATCGAATTGCTATTGAAGAAAAAACAAACAAATATAATGATTATTATTTTATTTTTTCTATTCAATAAACCTCTGAAATGTTCAGATGATTCAACAAGTGCTGTAGCTGCTTTACTATCTGATTGATTTAATTTTGATTGTTGTTCTTTAATACGATTTAAACTTAGTTTTATTTTTGCAACTGTTTTATCTTCACGTTCACGATCTTCTTCAATTCGTTCATGTGAAATTTTATTAAATAATACAGCGCCTTGACTAGCTAATTTAGCTTGTGAACGAAGTTCAGCAACAATGTGTTCCCAGTAATAACTACCAAATATTCGTTTTTGTAATAATAAAAATATTAAACAAAATCCATCCCTATCAATAAATAAAAATAAAAGGCAAAGCCTATCGATATAATATTTACATGAATAGAGTAGCATCCGTTGCACTACGATCACATTGTTGATTAATAGCTAAATAATTCAGAAAAACAATACATCCATTAGAATTCATCAAATATATAAACTAAAATCAAAGTTATACCATCATATGAAGCAGGACAATTTCTTGGAGGAATAAAATCCTTTTTTAAGCATGGTACAAGCAAGTCAACAAATGTACAAAATGAAGATGTACGTTTTACCCCTTCACAAGGCAATGATGGATAAAGAAAAATACAGACTGCCACCTAGAGAATAATCAATTAAGAAGATATTTTTAAAAATCAATATAACACAAAATTTAATCATAGAAAATTACATTCATTAGTCGAATGTATACAAGTAATAGAAAAGATTTCTTCTATAATGCATCGCAATGATAATATATCAATACAAACAACTATCTAAATATATTTTTCTTTTATCTTACTAACAGAGAAGAACAAAAAAAACTGATCCCCGCTTTTTTACTTACTTGTAAACATGCTTTAATAAATATTACTGAAAAACAGTAATAAACTAAATAACTCCACCTATAAAAAACAAATATTCGATAAAATAAATTTCAATATAATTGACTTACACTCGAAGCATAACTGTAACACGTTTCGTTAAAAAATCTTGTCCATACCAAAAGAAATAGAAACATGCTATTAGATAACCAAGACCAAGTAAACTAATTCGTGTTGTTCCAGCAAGATAAACAATTGATAGAACAATCCATGCACCATACATAAATATAGCATATTTGATTTGATCAAGCCAATGTCGTTTATTTATAACAAAATCCCATGTTGGATTATCTTTATAAATATCATCATCATAAATTATTTCACGATTTGATCCACCTGTTTCAATAAATTTACTATCTTTTTCACTACTTTCATATTTAAATACACGCAATTGTTGACAAGCAAATAATAGTTGAAAAAAATCAGCTAGATTTTTGAAGAAAAATAAATATTATATATTTGTAAAAATAAGAATGAAAATTACCTATTAGTTGTGTTGCTACTGGAGGATTAAAATAATCTGGTAAGACAAACCAACGTCTTAATTGAGGCCATCCATCAAATTTAAGATTGGTCCATGGATAATCTATAAAATATAAGACATTTTAAAACATGCGGACATTGTAAAACAGATCAATAGTCAAATAATACAAATTTATATTATTCAAATAGTTGGTTATAACTTCATAAAAATGACCTAAAAGGAGTGTTGCAGTGTCTAGGGACGGACATTTGCATCTATTAGGCTCCCACTCCAGACCGTGGCAGATATTTTAGTTAACTAAACAATTAATTAACCACCCACCATAGACTTTCTATCGGAGCCATCACAGAATGTGAGAAATACGGTCTGAGGATCGTCACATAGTATGACACTCGACTGCAAGGTACTATCAGAGATCATAGATAACTAAAGTCTAGTTAAAATTTTTATGCTCTAAAGTAAGGAATGATGCTGCACGTATTTCGTATTTCACATTTTAATCTCGCAAGGATTGCGCTGACAGATTTTGCATTAGTTGATCAGAATTCTGCTAACATCATGGTATATGCTTTCATATAAAAATTAAAAAACAAACTTAGTAGTTACTCTACGTCATGTTATTTGTTAATAATCAAATCTCTTTTTTTACTACTCTAGTTTAGAACTATTCTATGCAACTGTACGAATCACTTATTGAAAAATTTCAAATTACATACTGAAACAAAGTAATGGTGGTGCTCCAACGACACTCATATATTGAATTGGAAAAGCAATAATTAAAAATAATATATAAAATAGCCACATTCGTTGAACAGAACGTCTACTAGATATTAAAAATATTCCAAGCCATAATGAATAAAGTACAGCCATTATATCAAGTCGAATAGCAATAACAATAACTGTTGTTATGTAACATATCTAAGAAAAATATATTTTTTATAAACAGAAGGTCAAAGTTATTCTCTTATTTACCTCCAAACCAAATCGATAGAATACAAAATTTGCTGCATATTTTAAAAAATCACAAATACCTTTATCTGCTTCTCGATAATTAATCATATCATATTCGTCTTCATATGTATCATCATTCATACGATTTTTTAATGTAAATGGTTCAAATAAAATCGGAAAACGATTTTCAATAAGATGTACATTAAAACGAACTGATAATGATAAACGACGATGTCGTTGACGATATCGTCCAATTGCATCAAATGTTAAAGCAATTGTTATTAAAATATATAACTAAAAACAAAACGGGTCAAATTTATTTCGATTTTTAAATATTTCATTCATATGCTTACGCCAATAAATCGATCAAGTGTTGGTGTTAATTCAAGACCAAACCATTTTGCGGTATCATTTGGCATTGAACTTAAGTTTAAATTAATCTAATTATTAATATATCAAAAGAGAAAAAAGAATATATAACATATATTTTATTTTTTTTTTACTTGGGAACAATTTCTAACAAAGAAATTTTGTTCTACAATATGCTGTTTTGCTATTGCTAATTGATAACACATTGATGAAAGAATATAAAGACCAGTTGCTATTAATGTTAATAAATTAATCAATTTTCGTAGACGAAGTAGAACTAAGCCAACAGTTGCTAATATAATTAATGTTACATTAAATGCACAAACCTAATTATGAGATAAATATTAATTAAATATACAAGAAATAATCATATAGATTGATTACTTTAAGTACAGATGTAAGAACCATGAGAAATAAAACAAATTTATAGGCATGTAATTCAGCAAAACGCCAAGTATAATAAGTTATTTGTTTATAAAGACGATTAGCACGAAAATAAAGTTTATATGATGATTCTTGCCATGTTTTAGGTTCACTTTTTAAAATTCGTTGTGTATGAGAACTGTTTACATGTTCAGTATTTTCTGTAAAAAATATTTTTATTGATAAAAAAGTTTAAAATATGTATTTCTACCTTTAGCATATGCGTGAATATCTTTTAATGTACCACTTGCTGGACCTTCAATAGTTTTGTCACTGAAAAAAAAACAATACATAGATTATTTGGTAAACAACAGATATTTTATATTTGAAAATAGTTAATATTATTTTCGCAAAGAATATAGTCTTTCTGAGGAAAAGTTGACTAAATCAATTCGAGGTATCTGCTGTTTGAAACTGGAGCTTATAGTAAGTTTTAGATAATACTATCCTCCATATCAAATGACTTCCAAAGAAAGATTCCTTAATGTATCCAGCGGATTTTGATGAAATTATGTGGATTTATACAGTGAAGTGTACAGCAATTAGCGGTTATAACCGCATCTGTAAAAGTATTATAGTCGAACCATTGTTCAAAGGTTATACACGTATATCTTGTTGTATATACTGTTCTACTAGTCATCAGACTTATAGATCTCCTTGTCTGATGAAAATTCGTTTTCCACGAGCTCAGAATATTTCTAACATATCCGATTTTGAAGTATGTCAACAACATTATAGTACTACGTTAGAAGATGAGACGTCAAAATGTCAACAATGAAAACGTCGACATGTGAAAACGAGTGTGGATGTGGGTGTGCGTGTGGATGTAGATAGAGCTACAAGATACTCACACTCTCTATATGTATTAGAATTTAACTAATTCAATCAGAAATATAATCTGAATCGCAACTGAATTTTTTATTTTTTCAATTTTCGGTATTTTTCCATGCGACAATTTGACACTTTCCTCGTTAGAAATTATGCAAGATTGGTAGACTAGAAAGACGCACATATGAAGCAATACAAAGAGATAATAGTTATAGAAATCTGACACTACGAATATACAGAGACACATGCCAAATATAATAATAGACGGAATTAAGAGTGATGCAAAGAGTATATCTGGATTGAGAACGCGCTTAAATTCTACATATTTCATTAGGAAAAACTTTCTATCTCAATCATCATAAGACTTATGTTTTCTTATTTGTGCTATGTATCTTGAAAATACTAATGAAAATTACTTTGGCATTGTAATTAATTTCATCCAACCAGAATGAAAATAATGTAATTGTAATATATTAACAACTAAAAATGTACTTGGTGTAAGTAGTTTAACAGCTAAAACATCTGATGGAACCACATCAAGCCCAATTGATGCAAGTCTAAGAACAAATAATTATATAGACAAAGCAAATTTTTCTTAAAAAAACTAAAACTTACAATTCTTTACTGAATCTTTCTGTTAAAAATACATTAACGTTTTCAAACTAAAATAAATCAATTATATTTAATGATATAATTAATTCTCAATTACTTGATAAATATATATTCCAATTAATATCACCATTGAATAAATAATTATTGTTAAATGAAATGTTGCCACTGTTTTTCGCCAGAATCCAAATGAAATCTAAATGCAAAAATAAAATTCATTTATTCAATTTTCTAATCTAAAAAAATGTTTATCTTACTTGGAATGCAAGAATAAAAAATAAATAAAATGCCATATAAATGATTCGATAAATAACTACAGTATTTTGAATACTGACTAGTAGAAGCATGCCACATGATACAAATATCCAATATTTTGTTAGAAAATTAATTAACCATCGTCCTGAAGAAATTGAAAATAAAAAAATGACAAGAAAAAAAAATTAAATTCTCACCCAATCGTCGAGGATATGAATCAGTTGCTGTACTAACTCGACGACCTAAGAAAAAGAAGAAATAATAATGTAATAAATAAATCATTAATGAAAACGAGAAGACCATTCCAAGGCAAACAGAAATTTTTATTTTCTTTCAAAAATTGTCTTACTTAATTCTATTTCTATAAAAACTACAAATTTTTAGTTTTTCGCAATTCATCTAATTAAATAAATAACTACGAACCATCAGTTCCTTGTGCTCTAGCAATTCGTTTTTCATTTATATATTGTCGAAGTGTTAACCAAAAAAATAGCATATAGAAGGACTAAAAATAAATAATATTTTCATAATTAATCTATTTTATTCGAATTTTCATACCTTTAAAAGTAATGGAATAAATGCAGGTTGATAATCATTTATACGAATGCCAATTTGTTCCATAGTTCGACGATCATATGCAAAATTCAATTGATTAAAACTAACTTTAAAACCAACTAAATATTGTAGAATTAATAATATTCCACCATAGACTGTAAAAAATGGGCTCATTCTTAAACACCATTGTCGAGAATTCGGTAACACCCAAAGTATACAAGCCCAAAGAAGATAGACTAATGTTAATAAGCTATGAAATGTTATACTCCATGCCTAGATAGAATAAAATAAAATTCTTTTTTTTAAATAAAAATATTTTTACCAGCATAGCAATCAATGATAATAGATAACTATGTCGTTCGAGTACACGAATAATAGAAAATACAACAAAAATTATTCGTCCTTGCCATGTTTGATCACCAGGTTGTTCTAAACTCCATCGACGATATAATTTTGGTGGAGTTTGTTCTAATGTATCTCGACCATCAGAATTATGAACTAAACTCTATAATAGATATAAAAATAAAACAAATATTAGTATAGTATATTATCATATTTTTGTATAATAAATAAAGCCCAGAATCAAGTTAATAAGTCAACAATAGATACAACACAGAAGCGTAATTTTCGTTTAGAATTTCACTAAACTATGTCTATATATTTTGAAAAGTATTGCTAAGCGGTCACGCAATATAAATAATAACAAATAATTATAAAAACATGGGCAAACCTGTCGATCAAGACTGCGACGAGGATTAATCTGGTTAATAAGTTACACACGTAAAAATGTGCTCATCTAACACAAAAAAAATCTTCTCATCATTTTCCTTACCTGCTGTTCGACGGATGGAATTGTTAATACATTCGTTCGGATCTTTTAAAATAAATTTAGAATAAAAAAACAATTTTTTATTGATAAATTATTAATTATACTCGATGAAAAAGTGTTCGATTTGTTTCAAATGCGAAATAGAAATATAGTAGAAGTAATGCACATGGATTTATATAATCACTCCATACTAAATTCCTTTCAAGATATGGTTCACGATCGGTGCAATTACTTTCAACAATTGCTGTTAAACCTGTTATACTAGATTACAATAAAAAAATAAAGTATTTATGTTGTACTTTTAAATAAGTTTATCTTACTTGCTCCATAATGATAATGGTGGCAAAAACTCTTGAAAAAATCCAAATTGATAAAGATAAAGAATTAATAAATGTATGCCTGTATAAACAACTAATATAGCCCGAGCAAACGTATATTTTTTTCCAAATTTCACCGATGATGACCATATAAAAGCAAGTGTTAGGAAAAAAATGAAATAAACTGAATTGATAATACTTGGATAAACAAATGCAGCAAAACCAACAATAATAAATTGTAGAAATAAACGCGTTCGTTTTAACATAGATAATAATCTTGGCCATAATTTTTTCTGATCTTCTATGCTAGTACTACTATTTGCAGTCTGTGATATCGATGATGATATTTGTAATTCATTATTTCGACGTCTTGATGTTACTATTGTACGACGAATAATAACAAAGCAAACAGTTGATATAGCTAAGATAATTATATCGGGAAATATTAAACGTAAGATGCGAATGGCATTTGAATTGTCAAGACTTAAAAACAAAACGAAAATTAATTTTCAAATAGAATATTTTATCTTAATTGTGACATACCGTTCTAAACCAAAATATCGAAGTGTACGAACTAATTCGGTACCTAAAATGAATTTCATAGGATAATTTTAATTGAAAAACAAAAATGAATATGTTTACAGTTATTGAGCGTATGACCATAGGGTTTATTGGCGAGAAGAATGGATTGAAATATGATTTGAGCAAGAACTGTTAGAAGACTAATGAATGCAATAGCCAAAACAAATATACGAAAACGTGCTTAAATAAAATATAAACATAGATTTTTATTTAAAAATATAATTCTTTAATTTACTTCGAATATTTCGTTCAGCTATTGGACCAAGCCATGGAAGCAGAAGTAATAGAAAGGCATAAATAAATGAAATAATACTGTACCGAAATATTACTCCTATTTATTTTCAAAAACGAAAATACATATTTAAATATTTCTGAAAAAATAATTATATATTCTTACCACTGAGCAATGCTAGTGGAAGTAAGATAAGTATAAATACTGATAAGAATGATCGAGACATTCTTAGTTGTTCCCTAGAGATAAAGAAAAATAATGTTAAGTTATAGTTAATGATACATTTTCTACTTCAAATAACGATATATATTTATATATAAATTTAGAAAAAGGAGGAGAAGAAGAAGATTGTATAATCTGAATTTATATTTGAGATTCTAATAGTATTAAATCTATGAAATATTTTATATCAATATGATATTTTAGATGAATCTATAGAAATTGTTTATATGATATTTTTTCCATCCTCTAGCGCACATAGCATGAAATTATCTAGTTATATGTCTATCGTAAAATTTTTTTTTCTATACGTCAATTAAATTACCTTTACCAGACGAATATATTCACATCGCCAATTTAATAACAAGAGCAATAAATATTCTTTTTGCTATCTGTTTTTATGTATATATAAATACATGTCTGGGGGTGTTATATATGTTTTTGGTATGGCACCACATTTTTTTGACAAGAAAAAAAGAAAAGAAAAGAAAAATACGGTTGATTCATTTGATTTCATAGTTAATAAAAATAAATAAATAAATAATTATTCAAATATGATTACAGCACTGTGCAGTATGATTTAATAATAGCTAATTGAAATAATATCTTACTTCTCATGGTCAGACATTACCAGAGGATGAGAAATATTTGTTAGATTCGAAATAAGATTATTTATCGATAATAATTGATTAGATATCGAAATATTCGATTGATCTTGTTTGATTGATAATGAGTATATACGTGATTGACGTTGATCTTTAGTTTTATTATTAGAAGGAAGTGTATGTCTTCGACTAGTTTGTAGATCGATATCATATGGATGATCCGATGATTGTTGTATATTACTACACTCTGTTGATTTATTAAAATATGCCATAGATACGTTCGATTATAAGTGAATAATACTTAGAATTCTCAGAAGATAATAATCAATTTGATGAGAATATGACAATATGAATACAAATACCAAAGTCTCGATAGATGAGACGAGAAAGAGAAATATTTATATATATATATATATATAGTACATATTTTTTTTCTCTTATTAATGATTACGGCCGTGCGAATCATAGATACAATTATATAGACTAACTGCAAACATATTCTCTTCTATTTCATGACCCTTTTTTTTCTTTTTCTTTGATCTCATATGAATATAAAAATATACATTATATATAAAGATAAAAATGACATTTAAGTCGTGTATATATTCTGCTATTTATCTTACCAGTCAAAATAATGATCATTTATGTTGGAATGTGTCGTATAACTGTTGAAAAAAAAATTATTGTCGTAAAGCTATGTACAAAGAAGGGAAGACAAATAAATGACTAATCTACAAAGACTAATAATATAATCCAATGTTATTTTACGAATCACCCTTGACATATTAAATAAGATAATGAAGTGTTTTTTTTTTCAGTTTTTATTTATTTATTGAACATAACAAGATGTTTTTTTTTTCTTTCGGGATGTTACAAACAAAAACAAATTCAAATGAGAAAATCATGCAAAAATGATCTTCTTTTGAATGCATAATTTAATCAATGAGTTTGTTTTAAGATATAAAAATTTTATTGTTGTTGTTGTTGTTGTTGTGCTTGTCGAGCAAGTTTTTCAGCGACTTGTTTAGCAATAGTATCCATATTTCGTCTTCCTAATGTTGAAAGAACACGACCACCTGATGCATGTTTTTCAATAATTTTTGCTTTTTCAAGCGATTGAAGACATTTACGTACAACACTACGTGAACCACGTTGAAAATGTGATGGACGAACACCTTTATGTTTTAAACCACCATAAACACGTGTAAATGCACCAACACCGGTTCGACGTAAATAAAGAAAACGTGCCATTGATGCACATCGTGTATAATACCAATCTGGATCAACAGGTGCCATCTGTTTATGAATACCTAATTTGATAATATCGGCCCAATTACCAGATGGTACGTCAAGTTTGCCTGTTTTTTTAAGAAATTCAGAAAAAGCAGCTGTAAATTGTTGTTGGTCAACATCTTTAACTGAACCACGATCAACTATATCCATTGTTTTAATTGATTCTTTTTCTTATTATGGATTTTGTTTGAAATACAAGAATCTAAAAACTTAAAAAAAATGATTTAATTTATTCATTTGAAAATATATCTATGTAAATTTCGAAATAAATAAATAAATAAATAAAATGTATATTGAAGTCGATATCCGAATGGTTCGTTTTTCTATTAACCATCGATCCATTCAAATACATCTATCCTCTGAAGAGTCTTTAGATGTACATTCAAGGTAAATTATAATTAAAAAAAATAAAACTATTTCATATTTTTATTTCGTTTGATGTAGTCATTCAAACTTTTTTATCGAAAGGATACTTGAAAAAATTAATAGATGTCGCGAATTGACTAACAATTAAAGAGTAAATATTTATTTCATAGTTTAAACTAGGAGATATCCTTCATATCAAATATAACATTCTAAACTCACTCTTGATAATTTATATCAATACAATCAGATATTTTTCGTACTTAAGAAATTTGATGAACAACGACTTTTTCATTTTATTTGACAAGGTGTCGAATGATATATTTGAGCGAAATATTATACTTAAATAAAACCTTACACGCAGGTGAAATTAATGAACAGAAGATTTCAAAAGAGAACAAATTTTGTTCAACTGTGAATATTTAACCTACGTATGTGACCTTTAAAAACAGACGCAATTAGTTGAAATATGACAATTAACAATTTATTTGGGTACAAATTAAATGGTCAGGTTTTTATTCAAAATTGCCAGTAAAAGCGATCAGTAGTTTTATTGTGAATTATCAGTAAAAAATTTAAACTGTGTGTGGGTGGGTAACAGATGGACACTCACATCCACACCCACATCCTGATCATGATTACTGACTTTCGATATTATTTACTGCTCAGAAAGGATTTATTTACTGATCAAAACTACTGACCACGTTATAAGAAAAATAACTGATCATTTAATTCGAACCCAATTTATTTTAACTTAATTAATATTTTAAATGAAACGATTTTTATTACGCTGTATTTTAGAGTTAAATGTATGCTATTTCAAATTATTGACAAGATCGTGACTAATAATGTTAATAGATTGCGAAATTACATGTTTTTAGTAGAAGAGCAAATACTTTTTTATTATTAAGAAAAAACGCATGAAATATGTTGTGTACTTTTGAAACATTGCCTGATGAGATTTTAATGATTATTCTACCATATTGTGGTCATGTTGTAAATATATTCCACACATTTCTTGGTTTAAATCAACGTTTAAATCAAATTCTTATTGATAGACGTTTACATTTATTAACTGATTTCTTACATGTCAATGCACGAGATGATTACTATAATTCTCGTATATTTCAACAAGTTTCTCGACAATTATTATCAATAAATATATCATTAGATGAAGAAAAACTCAATCAATTATTACAACCATTAATTATTTTTCATATACAATTAAAATATATTGAATTGGGATGTGAATTTCAATTATATTCTGAAAAATTTCATTCAGTTCGCCAACAACTTACTGATGATAAAATTATTAAAATAGATAATGAATTAAAGGAAAAATTCCATAGTATAACTCAAACACCTCTAACTATGCAATATATTCATGATATTGAACATCTTGTTTTAACAGTTGGTGCTCGTCTCATATGTAATGATGATGAACTATGTGGATTTAATTTTAGTAAATTTATCAATGATCAATTTCTTGCTCATATTAAGGATACTGATGAAAAAAACTCTTTTTTATCAATTAATTCATATTTAAAATTGTTTAAAATATTAATTATTTCAAATCCATTTCTTCTCAATAATAAAGATTATGTTGGTAACGGTGGTTTGGATGTGATATATTTTCTTATATATACTCTCTATCAATTAAATCATTTCTATCATGGTCATTCTTCAACATTCGTAAATATGAAATATTATCGAGCTATCGTCGACTTATTTCTTTTTGCTATACAATGTCGAAAACAAGCATATAATGAACATTATGATATTCGAAAAATTATGTTTGAAGTACTGCAATTAATTCCTGAGATTAATAATGATATTTTTATACAAACTGCTCAACGGGAAATATTAAAGATAATTATTGATGAATGTAATATTATATCAAATCAACCAGTGGATGAATATGAGAGATATGACTTTCAAAGAATACTAAAAAATTTAGTAAAAAAACAACGTTTAGATATTATTAGATATATTGATCAATGTGATGCATTTAAAGAATTATTTAAACAAGTAAATTATAGTCGAGAATGTATAGATATAATGACAGGTAATCGATCGGGAAGACAATTGCTCGGACAAATTTTTAAGGAAAAGCTATTGAATTTTTTATATTTCAATAAATCTTTCATATTTATTCTATTAGACAAAAAAGAACGAAAATTAATTAAACAATTATTAGAATTATTTCCACATCTCATTTCTGAAGTAGATAATGATGGAAATGATCCGTTACTTTATATTTGTCTTAAAGTGTATGGTTGTCGACACCGAATTATCGAACATTTAATTAAAATGGGATCAGATTTGGAACGAAAGAATATTCAAGGACAAAACTTCATGGCAGCATTACAATTACAAAGAAATCGAAAACTATTAAAAACCTTGTACGAGAAAGAAATTATTAAAAATGATATTCAATATGTGAATTGATATGAAAATAAATTTACTGTATTAAACAAATAATTCAATCTAGTACAAAGTAAAAGTAGAAAGGGATCATCGATAAAGGACATTCAGACACAATTACGAGTTTTTGGCACTTAGCGGGAGACTGTCAAGCAAACTTGGTTTTTAAAGAGTCCCGTCCCGTAGTTTTGAAAATAGACAAACAAGAATCGGCTTGTCAAAACCAAACCGTCTAAATTAATGTACAATGCTTTTATTTTCAAAAATAAAGGGTGGATGTGACTTGGGAGCAATACTCTCAGTCACACCCACACCCATGCATGAAATAGTTTACACCCCCGAAAACTGCGTTTGCCCTCCCAAGATTTACGGTTTTTGCGCCCTTTACTATGCATTCACTTCCTCACAGGTAAAATCCTGAATAAAATACTAGGTGTTTGGTTGAAGAAAGACTAGTAGTGTTGCGAGAAGAGGCTTTTTCGACAAAACTTTTCAAACTGGAAGTCCTTTATGCATGATCCCGAGTGGAATTTAAAAAAAGTTATTGCATAAGATTCTCAATAAACTAGATTGTTTCATTGTCTTTTAAAATTTTGTGACTTAATGTAATAAGTATATTTTACATGTCGAACTTCTATATTAATATAAATACTAAAAATAATAATAAACGTTTTTCTTCTCATTGATAAAAGTCTAAAGAAATTCTATATCTTTTATAACATATTTTATTATTCCTACTCGAAAATAATTGTAAAATTAATGTAATACAATAGTACAATATGTTTTTCGACGTATGTAAATGGACATGTAATTATATCAGTTCGAATACATTACTCTTTGATGACTAGTAAAATTATCTACTTTTATCTATGATAGAAACAACTTCGTAAATGTTGTTTTTATTTTCATCTCTTTTTTAATGCGTGAAACAGGTAAGTATATTAACCGTTTGTTTTTTCTTTGTCATTATAACATTTCGATATAAACAAAGAGCAAAATTAGACTATAATCATTTATATAAATTTCATAGAAGATTTACGACACATTATCATAGTAATCATAATAATTAAAGTAAATTTAAAAAAAACCAATTAGTTACTCTTCGATGATTGAATAGTAATTCAAATCATGTCTAGGTCAAACGTTTATGAAAAAAATGAACTTTGTAACTAATCTTAAGATAAAAATCTAAATTGAAATTATAAGGCCCCCTATCATTCTCCATTTTTATTGGTATAACAAGATTGCATTACATGATTATGATTTGTCACGCATATTCTATTTATTATTTTCTTTTTTAACTCATACCTACTCTATTTGTTATTAAGTTTTTGTATATATTTAAATGTATTAATCAGAAATCCAGCTGCTGCCATTTTGTTGATGTCCTTGTTTTATATAATTTAATTTATTTTGTATTATTTTAAGATAGAAATATGTCGTTTGATACATCGACTCTTGTTGCTATTGGTAGCGTTGGTATTATTTCAATTGTGATTTTTATTTTATTTAAAAACAAAAATAAACCGAATAATTCGGAACAAAGTAAACGAAAAAATGTGATTATTGCTTTACAAAATCCCGATATAAAATATGCATTTTCATTGGCACATAAAGAAAGTATATCGCATGATACACGTATCTTTCGTTTTCAACTTCCATCAACTAAACATGTACTTGGTTTACCTATTGGTCAACATATTTATTTAACTGCTCATATTAATGGTGAACTTGTCAAACGGCCATATACTCCAACAACATCCGATGATAATCAAGGTTATTTTGATCTTGTTATTAAAGTTTATCCAAATGGTAAAATGACTCAATATCTTGATAAACTTCCTATCGGACAAACAATTGATGTAAGTGGTCCATCCGGTAATCTTATTTATAAAGATAATGGTTTATTTGATATACGTTCACGTAAACCTGAACCATTTGTTACGCGACATGTTCGTCATCTTGGTTTAATTGCTGGTGGTACAGGTATAACACCAATGTATCAAATCTTAAATGAAATCTTAAAAGAACAATCAGCAATTGTACCTGGTCAAAAGGTTGATATTAAAATTTGGCTTTTATTTGCCAATCAAACAGAAGACGATATTTTATTACGTGAAGAATTAGAACAATTAGCTGCATCGAATTCTGATCGATTTAAATTATGGTATACCGTTGATCGTGATAGTGAAGAATGGAAATATTCAAAAGGTTTTATAAATGAAACAATGTTACAAGAACATATGCCACCACCAGGTGATGATTGTTTAATATGCATTTGTGGACCACCACCAATGATTAAATTTGCTTGTGTACCTAATTTAGATAAATTAGGTTATACAGAAAACATGCGATATACTTTTTAAGAAAAAACTAAAAGAAGTCTTTTTTTTTTTAAATTAGTTTTTTTTTGTTTGTCTTTGAAAGTAAACAACAAGGTGAAGGAGAAATCTAACAGTTTTTCTTTTACATTTATTAATCATTTGAATATTTTTTAGATGATTATTTGTTACATAATTATGCAAAGGCGAGAACGTTGAAAAGGAAATGACAATGACAATCTATGGCAAGCATGTATGTATGCATTGTAACATAGTCGACATATAGAGATTTGTTTATATTCGATTAGTCAGGCAAAGGTCATTTGTGCCATAGGAACGAAGTTATTATTCTATATTAGAACGAGTGAGATAAAAAATTCTGTTCTGTTCACACAATGTACACAAAACATACAAAATGTATTGTTGTCACTAATGGATACTTGAAATAGATTAAATATATACGCATATCGTCTTGTTCTTTATTTATATATATATATATATCATACAATAGTAAGTGAAACTGTTTTGTTTAAATCGTAAAATTAAAAAGAATTAGGTCAATAAGACAACTATCTTCTTTGATCTTGCTTGAATAGAGATCATATTGTAAACATATACGTAGACACCAATTGTCTGTTGAAACATTGACTTCTATCTTTTATTGACGTCTGCAAGTAATCGAAAGATCTACAAATAGTATTGTTGATAGACGTCGAGTATAAAAAATCACACGCGTAATTAAGAAAAAGAAGAGAGAGAGAGAGAGGGAGAGAGAGAAAAAACCAGCGAATTGTTGATAAATGTTCGTATTCAATTTCAGAGCGAAACACTTCTTTTTATACATGCATATATACGTTCTCTGATTAAACAAAATTCGTAACGAGAAGTTGTTCGCTCGTTCGTTCGTTCTGTTTTAAAAACTTTGTATGAACAAATAGCGAGACGAAAAGAATAGATATTCATCTTGTTCTCTTTCTTTTTTTTTTCTTTTTTTTCTACCTATATCACCATGAAATGTAGATAGAGAGTATGTATTTGAAATGAGTTGCGTTAAAATGAAGGTCAACATTGCGAGTCTATAAATATACACATATAAATACAAAGGAAATCTTTAAAATTGAAATTGACAAGTACTTGAATATAGAGACAAAAAAAAGAAAGAAGAGACTTCCTTTTTTTTTACACGAATTACATCATTGATTAAGTAGTGTTATGTTGTTTATAGACGATTGAAGGGCTCTTTTTTATGTCATAAACGACACGAAATGTGAAGATTGTAATGCGTGATCAACAGACATCATTTCTTATCGATTTATTCATAATCTTTACAAATAATGGCTTCAACTTCCTCGACAAATGTTAATGGTAAGTTAAAAAGAAAATTTGTAACCGAAAAAAAAAATACAATGTTATATCATTTTATATTTATAGAAATTCTCCCTGGTCTCGAAGATTTTCTTCGTTCAATGTTAAGTAGTACACATTTGGAGAATGATCATCGACAAATTGCGGCTATGTATCTAGATAAACTTGATCAATATGGTCAATCAACAAATCAACAATCATCTCTTATTGATGATCAATCATTGTATATAAAACTTTGAAAATTTTTCATATCAAAATATCTTTATATGATTCTTTTGTTTTCTCTTTTAAAGAATGAACACAGATATCATATCAGATGCAGAAAGTGATGATTTTACTGATGAGGAAGAAGAACAACAAACTCCAACTATAACAAGACATTCATCCGTTTGCGATACTGTACTATATGATAGTACAAAACAAGAATCAAATACTAGTAGTAGTAGTCAATGGTATGCTGATATACCAAAAAATGACTCTCCAGAAGCACAGATATCAAATGGTAGTATATAGAAATATGACTATGTTTATCTTAGATTAAAATTTATTTATTTTTTCGTCACAATAGAACATAGTGAAAAGTCATCATCAATCATGCAAAGTCGATTATCCATCCCATCGTCAACTTCATCGAGTATAATAGCTGATGGTCTATTATTAACATATGATAAAAATCATAATTGGATATGGCGTTATTATGTTCTCGATGATTATGATCTTATTTGTTTCCCAGCTGATAAAAAGTCTCGATTAACAACCGAAGGAGAATCAGATAAGAATTGTTCACCACTATGGGTGTCAGATATAACTAATGCAAAAGTAAAAATTATAATGTTCTCGAAAATCAAACTAGATTTCTATCCTATAAATTTAGGTTCATACAACAGTTATAGATAAAATCGAATGTTTATGTTTGTATATTGGCCTTGCTGAAGCGATTTATGTTCGGCCGTCAGATCCCAATCAAATAAATATGTGGCTTAAAGTATTTATTCATTGTCTTTGAGAAAATAAGAATTTTAATTAGATATATATATAATGATAGGCATTCCGTGATGCAGCTTCATCACAAAAATCTCGAGATACTTCAAAAAATCAAAGTAATGTCAAAATATTATCTCGTAATGCACGTCGTATGTTCGCTCAATTTAATCGAAAAAAAGGTCAAATTGTTTCACATTTACTTGATCAAATGGCTAATGTAACGGGTGTTGATGATAAAACACGTAAACATTGTGAATTACGAGGTATAAATATTTAAATAAAAATATATATTCATAAAATTTTGTTTTTATCATTATTCTATTCAAGGTTTTCTTGTTATATCTCTTGATAATTCAACATTTCTAACAAAATATTGTACAATAGTTGATGGAATATTTCGTATACATAAATCTCGTTTAAGTGAGCAAACAGATCATGAATTTATTTTAAATCGTTGTAAATTATCATTTCCTGAAGAACGTACACGTGATATACAATTTGCTTTAACTGATGAACAAATACGAAAGATTTTTATTCGAGGAAATAATATCTATAGTATGGGACGTTTATTAAATACTTTAGCAAAATATGTTGAAATAATTGGAAGTTCAGAAAAAGTTTTTAAATCAGATGAAACTACTTCATTAACTTTACCAAATAAATCTCAAACATCATCACGTATTAGATCATTATCTCAAGTGAATGGTAAAATGCAAAAAAAAAAAATTTATGAATATAAAATACTTTTTTACTTTGCTTTAGAAGGTTATTCATCATCATCATCAACGGTGAAATCATTACCATTAAATATTACAAAAAATATCTATCGAAGTGCATCAAAATTACACGATGGTCGAACAAATGTTTTACCAAATCGTACGAATAAAAGTCAAATATCTATTCAACAAGATAATATTATTTCAAATGAAACATATGATCAACCAAAATCTTATAATAAGACAGAATCAATTGATCGAAATAATAATCATATATTGATAACAACAGATAAAAGAAAAAATGAAAAAACGTAAGAAGAATAGTTACGAGATTCTCATCATGTAAATTCTATTAGTAGTCTAGTATTCAAAGATACAACCAAAAGTGTAGAGAATGATCAATAAGAAGCTTTAGATAGAGAAAAAATCTTCTCTATTGATAATAATTCATTAATCTCTATTCTCCTTCATTATTTAAATATCCATGGTAAATTCATCCCTGTAATCTCTCCTCAAGCTACGTTCCTAGTTCTGAACAAAAGAAAATACTTGACGTCAACATAGACTTCCGAGATAATTGTGGTAATATTTTAAGTACATACTCAACCATCTGATAATAGAATTTCGTAGCCTTGGGTAACAAAAATGACAAAAGAAAGATTTTTTGATAGTATGTAACGTCAGAACTGTTAGATCATAACATCTATCAGAGAAAAATGTAGAATATTTTTTGAAGAAATCTGATATCTATCGAACAGTTTTCTTAGTTTAAATTAAAAATGATTCTTTTTAGTCGTTCAGAATCTCCTTCGCCTATAAATATTATACAATCTCATCGAAGCTCATCGCCAGATACATTATCATTAACATCATCTCATGCAGATCCCGTTTTTTGTATTCGTTCAATTCATTCTTCATCATCTCAACATCGAAATTCTCATCGTCATCGTCGTCCATATCCATTACCACGCCGTACTTCAGCGGATTATGTTAATAAATTTACAAATCTTTTTACAAGACATACTATCGAACGTCAAATAAATACAAAATCACGTAGTACAAGTATACCTTCATCTCAATCATCATCATCATCATGCTATAATTCCAATCGTATACAACCATCAATTCTAAATGATAAATCAACATATAAACATGTTTATGATATTCCAATTACAATTGAACGTTCAACAAAATCTCTAAATTCAACAGCTGAACAAAATCAAAAATTAACATGTGCAATAGATGACGATTTAACATATGACAATGTATCAAAAACAGATGGTATTGGTAAATTTCGTTTTGTTATTCCATTTAATCATAGCTCAAGTTCAGCTTTTACAACAATAAAATCAATTAATTCTCCATCAAGTTCATCATCATCAACGTTAAGCTCAAATTCAATCTTACCTCAAACATCGTCTTCTTCTTCTTCCAATAATTCAAATACGAATACGAATAATAATAATAATAATCGACCAAGATTAATGACAGCTGTCTAGATTTTTTTTTTTCATTTTTTTTCTCTTTCCTTTTATTTGTAACAGTATCAGTTGTTTCTTTTTGTGCTTTAAATATTTAGTGATAGAATTTATGTTAATGTATTTTCAAAATTCAAGAATGATAAGGTATCTGATAATAATTCAGGATTTTACCGTCAGATAGGTTGTATCAATTCTTTATAAACATAAGAGAATTGGAACAGTTTTTTGAAATCATGTGCTTTAGAAGAAAAAAAACAAAAACGCTTAATTAGCTTTGTATCTTTTTATTTGCAAATCGCAAGTTAAATATATTCATAAAAAAAAACGATTTTGAATGTTTATTTCAGATTATTTATCATTAATATTCAAGTAAAAAATGGTATGTTTTGTTTAAATCCTTAGTATCGATAGTCTTTTTCGTACGGTTAATTAAGTAGATGTTTGTATATACTTGTATTCATTTTGCAACTAATTAAACAGATCTATTAACTGATTGAATAACGAAAAGGTCTTACGTGGACTATGAGAATGAGTTCATTCATAACTACTGTCCATTTCAAAAAAAAAGGCGGGTTAGTATTTTCTGCGTTTTTTTTTATAGGAACAAGATAGAGAGCTGTGGTTTTCACTGTTGGAAAGAGGCTTGTTCGGTGCATCGATTCGTATAAAACTGTTGAAATTTATCTCTTGATCAAGTCCCCCTCAGCCTTTATTTCTTAAGATTTCCCTGTGGTCCCCTACAGGTCAAATTTCGATGAAAAATATTTTAGAATAAAAAGTAGTGTTTTTGGTGTAGTTTTTCACGCTGATTTCGAATATGATGTTTATTTTGCATAAAAAATAACTTAAGACGATCAAAACCTCAAAATACTACCATTTTAAGTATTTTTCGATATTTTCTATGGAGAAAAGTAGTATATATCTTTCAGGAAAATGCTGATAATTTTTGAACCATAAAAGATAGAAACCTGCGGTTTGCGCAGATTTGTAGATCTTCACCTGGCGGTTCTAACCCACCCATCAATCATCCAAGTTCACTCTACCTTCATAGAACAATATCCTACTCTTTCAAAACGACCACGGATCACTACTTAATCAAGAGATAAATTTCAACAGTTTTATACGAATCGATGCACCGAACAAGCCTCTTTCCAACAGTGAAAACCGCAGCTCTCTATCTTGTTTCTATAAAAAAAAATGCAGAAAATACTGACCCGCCTTTTTTTTTGAAATGGACAGTAGTTTGTTTATCTTCTTTAAGAATCTATCATCTTGAGGGTATGTGTGAGTGTCTCTTCCTTCATCAAACATCTGCACCAACACCCATATCCGGTGATAATACAATTTAATTGCTTGAGTATGTTCCTTAAATATAGACAGCTTAACATAAGATTTCGAATTATGTTTTATCGAGTTTAAATAACAAGTAACGCTCGTTTGAGAACTCGCTTAGCTCTTATGTTAGAAATGCATTTTCTTCATATTTACTGGAAAAACAAATGAAAATCGTGAAAATTTGATTTTCGATGTTTTTTTGAGCCTGCGGACACACTAACAGACAATTTATGTTTACTGGACTCTTCTCTACGAGGAAGAGAATATTGTCAGCAGAAATGAATTCATGATAAATTTTAGGGATATTGTCACCGAGATTTTCTTTCTATTAATCTCACAGCGTTATCGTCGATAGATGGATAACTCACCAATAAAGCATTAAATTTGTACTATATTTTCTTCAATAGTTAGATCAAATGTATGTAATGTGACAGTCGCTGATACTGACATTTTATTATTACAGATTTCGCTATACTTCATATAATGCTAAGATTGTATCTGATGACAAAAAATTATGACGAAATTTATTAATATTTTCAGTTTCGATATCTAATCAGAACATAATTGATTTTAATTTAGATACAATTTATTCTTCTCTTCAGCCGACAAGGTAAACTCCGTCTTCAAAAATGGTATACATCACAAACAGATAAATCAAAGAAGAAAATAACGCGTGAAATTATTGCAGCTGTACTTTCACGCAAACCAAAAATGTCTAGTTTTCTCGAATGGAAAGATCTTAAAGTAGTTTATAAACGGTATATTACTGATTTTATTTTATTAATAAAAATTTCTTTTGTTTTTAAGTTATGCTAGTTTGTATTTTTGTTGTGCAATTGAACAAGATGATAATGAATTATTAACACTTGAAACAATTCATCGTTATGTTGAATTACTTGATAAATATTTTGGAAGTGTAAGTCACTATTTATTAGTAAATTATTTATTTTCAATAATTATAGGTTTGTGAACTTGATATAATATTTAATTTTGAAAAAGCCTATTTTATCTTCGATGAATTTATTCTGGGTGGTGAAGTACAAGAAACAAGTAAAAAAAGTGTTTTAAAGGCTGTTAATGATCAAGATGTTATTCAAGAGGTAGGTTCTCTATATTTTGTTTTTTTGAATTAATTTTAAAGGAAAGCTATTCACACACATGCATATCTGTATAATTTGGGAACTAATGCTATTTATAGGATGATCAATTCCAAGAAATACTTTATGAATCTGGACTTGTTTAACATTGATTTCTTTTTTCGAAAAAAAAAACGAATATTCTCCTTCTCCTTCTTCTTCTTTCTTATAATTAAATAAATTTATGCTTTGAAGCTTTGATTATATATATATTTCTAGGTAGAAACGCCACAGGGTCTCTTCAATGATTATGGTCTTGGATAATAAAAAATTCTAAATAATGCTTTCGCATGTTTTCTTTACTTTTCCTAGTGATCTCGTCAGATTAAGCGTTTCTTCTGAATTATAAACGATAAATCTATGCATTTTATGCATGAAAATAGTTTTAAGTATGCTTGTGTGAATAAGCATTTTCGACATTGTAGCATGTACTTCTGTTTTTTGTTACATATTTTTATACTTATTTTATCTTTATATTTTAGGAAGAATTAGAAGAAAAACGAAGTGTATTAGAAGATCTTGGTTTGGCTTAAATAACCAACAATACTATTCATCTATATGTGAATTTCAATTAGTTGATCTCATAGACTTCCGCTATATATTTCGATTATTCTTGTTTTAATTATGTGACTATTTAAAGAAGAAAATTTTTAATTAATAAAATTACTCCAGTTATTTATTGTATTACTATTGTAATAGTTGAATTTATTTTATGTAAATCAAAATAAATTTATATTATGAAAATTTCTCATAAAACATATTTTGCGATGTCTAGCTTTGAGACATACATGGAGAGTTTTTATGCCCACATTCAATTAGTTTAGTTCTAGTTATAATAAATATATTACAGATACAAAACTTTATATGAAGGCTACATAATTTTCTTACCTATTGAGAAAGTGTATATCGCTTTTAAACTAAAACTTGATATTTATGAAAATTTTATTTAGTATTTATTTTCTCGATTAAAATAAAACGACAAAAGATTTAATCACGCCTGCAACAAAAACAATAAACACACGTAGCTATTATAATAAACGGAATTACTCCGATAACAATAAGCCCAAGTGATAGTTTATGTATGGAAGCATCACAATAATTATCAGCAGTTGAATTGTTCGATTGATATTGAGTACCTTTTTTGAGTATCCATGAAGCACCCTAGTTTAAATAATGTATTACATGATTTATCGATCTAGTGTAAATATGAAACTTACTACAACTGACCAAATAATCAACAAAAATAAAATAATACCAATTATACTAACGATGAATCTGGTCATAGCTAATTTCGATGTATTAATACACATATATCTTATAATCATCTACAACTATTAATAATTAGTTCTCAAAGTTTAAATATTTTTCTATATCTTACCATTGTATTAACAAATAAGCATCCAGTTATTCCTACTACACCAAAGACAATTAGCCATATTGGCATTCTTGAATCAAATGGACATTCAAATCTTCTTACTCCACCGACAATAATGGTAGCCAAAGGAAGACTAGAAAGTACGATGACAGAAACAATAAAACCAACATTCCAACATAGTGATCTGAATTGTTCACTCATTGAAGTTATAAACCGAGTAAAGCGTGGGGACTGATTTGCATTCGACTTATTAGGAGCTTGGTTATATTCCACATTTGTTTGTACTTCCAAATCCTGAACGTGTACCTAAGATAAAAATATTATCGATCTCTCACTGAACTTACAATTACCTGTGCAACTCGCATGATTGAAAGTTTTACAATAAACTTGCATACTCGAGAGAAAAGAAAGATTGACGTATTCGTCACTTCCATTTTTTCAGACTTTTTCCAACTTAACGTTAATGTAAACAATATTTTACAAAAGAAAGATTGACGCACTCTTCAGTTCCTTTTTTTCAGACATTCTCCATCTTGACATTAATGTAAACGATATTTAACAAAGGAAAAAGCAAATTCATTGTAACTATATCGAAATAAACGTTCTCTTGCCTTTTACTCTGTGGTTAAAATAAGCAGCAGTCGCATACATCAATATTATACTTATTGACATGGATGAAAATGAATTGATTTCTTTATTTACTAAAGCAGATTTAACTAGTGTGTTTCATCAGTATTGTCTTGATGGGAACTATAATGAAGTTCAAGCTATGATATCGAAATTAACTTACGAAGAATTAAATCAAATTGAACCTAATGGATATACTGCTTTACATGCAGCCGTACTTTGTAATCATTTGGATATCGTGAAACTATTACTCAATCATGGATGTTCTCAAACAATACTGAATCGATATGGAAGAACTGCTTATCAAGACGCTCACACAGATGAAATGCGTATTTTATTTGTTCGCCCACGTTCACAAAGATTTTTTGATAATAATACTACAGAATCATTTAAATTATTTATTGCTAATGGAAATAATATTGATATGAAAAAAGATATACCAGATAGTTGGTTTAAAGGTTATGTACGAGCTGAAGATACACGTGAATCTCAATTTATCTTAGCTCTTGGTCAAGCACCATTTTTAATAAGAAAAATCTATCAAAATCGAATTGAATTCATTAATATGCAGTCTCTATATAGTCTAATTATTGCAAATGTTTCAAGAACACATAAAGAATATGTAGAAGTCAATAATTTATACCAGACATTTGCAAAAAAAAGAAATATTGATCATCTATTAAAATTATACACACTTGAAACAGATATATATAGCGCATTGCAAACTCAACCTGACTCATTTACTATTCTAGTTTATTTATATTTAACGGAATTAAAAGAACGTGCATATCGGGGTCATACTTATCGTGGTGCAAAAATGAATCAGCCAGATATTGCAGCATATCGATGGGCACTGTCTAATCAAAATTATATTCTTGAAACACGTTCTATTCAATCGATGTCCAAGGATGAATCAGTGGCTCAAGAGTTTGCTGAATTACAACCAGGTGATAAACGTTATTCTGTCATATTTGTTTATGACTTTCCTGAACGTTGTAAGACGGCTATTGATTTAACGAAAATTTCAAATGATCTACCGTTACTCTCACATTATGAAAAAGAACAAGAAGTTACTTTACTACCATTTACATTGTTCACTGTGTGTAATATAGAAACTGCTTCAACAACTAGTCAATATCGTATAACACTCAGAAATGTTCCTGTACCTAAACAATCTGCTCTAATGGCATTCAAAAATCTTCGTCATTAACAGATACGAATTATTTTTAACAGTTTATATTTTATATTTCAGCATTCTTTCTCTACTTGATTCAATAATAAAATGTGTGTAAGAATAATAATCAATCATATCAATATATCTTTCTACTTTTACATCCTCATTTTTTATACATCTCACCATAAAAATAAGATGAACAGTGATTAAATAGAAAAAATACTTGGGAGAAAATTATCAAAAGACAATGTATGTACTTTATTACACAGTCGAGGGTGTGGGTGTCTTTCTTTATTGAACATTTACACCCAAACCCACGCCATTTTTATTTTCGACGTTATTAGGGTTAACCTTTAAAATGTGTACGAACCTCATATTTCTCAGATACTCTCGTTGGTTCTTTTCGTTTTTATTGTTTTGTACAAAGAAATATAGTTCTCAATATAACACATCTTCAAACTTCATCTCTTTTAGCAGAGAAAAATTAATCTATCAATAACTTATACTGGCAGACTCCTGCCATGAAACATTGTCTCATATTGAGTCAACCAAGACGTACGAGCGAACAGAAAGTATTTTTACATACGCTCGGTTCGTTTTTCTTCTTTCTATATAAGAACGGTGTGTTTCATCGTGCACAACTATTTTGATAAACAAGACATCACCACAATGACAGAACAAAAACGTGTAATTTTAGTGACTGGAGCAAATAAAGGTATTGGTTTTGAAGTTGTGAAGAAATTACTTCAGCAATCTTCTTCAAAAGCCACTGACATTATTCTTCTTGGTAGTCGAGATATCAAACGTGGTCAAGATGCAATTCAACAATTAGGTTCTCCGACAAATGTACATTTGTTACAATTGGATACATCATCAAAAGAAAGTATTATAGCTACTACCAAAGAAATCAAAGAGAAATATAATGGTCATTTAGATATATTAATTAATAATGCTGCAATTGCACCACGAGAGAATACAATTGAAGCAACACGAACAGCGTTTGCGACTAATTATTATGGTATTGAAATGCTTAATGAATATTTGATCCCTCTATTACGTGAGAATGGTCGTATAGCTAATGTTGCTAGTGGTGTTGGTCCAATAGTATCATATCTTTTTTCAAAAGAACTTCAACAAAAATATACATCACCAACATTAACAACACAAGAACTTGATAATATTGTTGAAGATTTTCTTTCAGCATTCGAATCTCATAATCTGGAACGTATTGGATATTCTTCTGAAATACCTTTTCCAGCATACACTATTTCCAAAGCTGCATTGATTGCTCTTACTCGAGTTCAAGCACGTGAATATTGTAGTAACAAAAATATATCTATTTATTCTGTATGTCCTGGTTTTTGTGCCACCGATCTTAATGATCATGCTGCTGGCAGTCGATCAGCAGCAATCGGTGCTGATTCTATATTGTATGTGATTGATACACCAACAAATGAGTTAGAAAATGGTGTATTCTATCAAGATGGTAAAAAACTACCAGAAATCTGTGACGATGAAGCTAAAGTAAAAGCATTTGTCGAACACTCCAAGACATTACTCAAATCAAAACAGTAATATTAAAGAGGGTGGGTGTAGATGTTTAATACAGGCAGAGACACCCACACCCTCATATTAATATGATAATGATCAAGAAAAAATATATTATTCAAAATTCAATAATTCTATTTCTTTTTTTTATCTTTTCTCTCTTCATTTTTATTTTTATCAGTAATATAAATAATAATACAACGAAGAAAAGCTTTCGTTCGATGTATAATTGTCAATAATAACGTATATATGTATACCTAATAAAAATGAGAAGAAAATAAATCAGTAAAAAAGAATTCTTTTTATCGATTGATATCTATTGAATAAGTGAGTTCTATCTGAAAGTTATCAGAATAAATATTAATTGTATTTTATCTTCATTTTATATTTGGAAAAAATGGGCAAAGATAATATTATCTTGGTATTTCATATACACTGAATAAAAAAGATAATGTTTCATATATAAATATTAAAGGTCTACTGCAGAAAGTATTATTTGTCTTTTTTTGACCCATATAACTACGTTAAACAAGTATTAAATAGGTCAAACAACAAAGAATTCATTTCTTCATTGGAGTTCTCTTTCGTAAAACATAAGATGGATAACAAACCAACATGCAGTAAGTGGATCTCATTTGGGTTTTTTCTATATTTTTCGTTGTAAACGATTTTTCAGTTACTTTCTTCTTGATGTTATCAACACTATTCATTATTATATCCACAAATTCAGGAAATGCTCTTCCTATTAGTTTAAGATCAATATTCACAGCTAATAAATCAAGTAAGTTAAAGAATAATTACTGATTCTAAATCAAATATAAGTAATTGTTTAACATCAATAAGTTTGTGTTTTTTTGTTTTCATCTAGAATGGTCTGAAACTGGCCATTTAAATAATCCACGACTTTATCACGCGGCAAGTTTGCTATTAGATAGAAATGTGTTAGTTACTGGTGGAGAAGGTTATGACGTTTGTTCCACTGCAGAACTTTATGATCCAATATCAAGAAACTGGACAAAGTCTTACGACATGAGATATTGTCGATGGTTTCATACAGCAACTACATTAAAGAACGGGAAAGTTCTAATTGCTGGAGGAGCTGCTGGAGAACCAGAACCTTTGGGTAATGTTAAATACGTTTTAAATCAGGCTGAAATGTATGAGACATCAACAGGATATTGGTTCCATACCACTAGCATGAATATCGAACGGTACTTTCATACAGCATCCTTATTACAAAATGGAAATGTTTTAGTTGTAGGTGGATCCGATGATGCACCCAACAGTGCTGAA